AAATGCAGTCCTAGACGGTGTGGACTGCGTGATGTTGTCGGGTGAAACCGCCAAAGGTCTTTATCCACTGGAAACTCTCAAGATGATGCATTCAGTAAGTTTAGTAGTTTTGCTCATGGACAGCTGAAAGCTCTGGGCATAGGTGTTTTGAACTTAGAAGATTATCCGAGCTCTTCAATTGGCCCAATCTGATATCTGGTTAAGTAGAAAATGAAAATAGATGCAGTCCCCTCTGGCCCCATGGGCGGAGGCAGCCAACAATTGTACTTCTCATCCTCCTTTTGTCCACAGCTCAGCAATCTCGTAGTAAACTTCGGAACGCGAACTTTTCTCGAACAGCAGCCATTATCATCAAAACCTCCCTGCAGCCCTAGGAAGGGGGAGGTGGGTGAGAGGAGGGAGCCAACAATTATGAGGAAGGCACGATGGTTGTTTGCCTCCTCCTATACGTCGATCAGTTTGGCAGTGCTTGTAAACAGGAAATATCCAGGGCAGTTCTAGTAGGTCGCATCTAAATGCGGATTGGCGCTATTCGGTCTGAGGGAGGGGGGGGGGCATTTTGTGGTTTCGTAAGTTCCTTTTGCTAGTTCATATCAACTAACAGGTTTCACTTAGATGAGATCCGTCCTCTCTTGTGAAGCTGTAGAACGGCACAACTGAGCCGCTTCGGTCACAGAAATCCACAGTTTTTTATAAGATCGCCTGTTCAAGCGTCGCTGAGTACCATTTAGCGCACAGACCATGCCGAAATGCGCCCCTGAGTCTCCCATTCTCAGGCATTTATCCATTAAGTTTAACGTTTCCATCCACTGTCGTTGTTGCTTTGGCGCAGTTGAGCTTGGAGGGGCATTTCACTCTTTCCCATAGATCATTGATGATTCCCCGTGTGGAAATATGTGAATTCCTATAAAGCTATGAAATAGCGTGAGCTTCGTTTACAATTGACAAGTGTCTACAGGTCTCACCAAGATGCGACGTGTAATTTGATAGGAACTAGCGGGAGGGACTAGCGAAAATGCAAAATGCCCCTATCCAGCTGACCTGGGCTTGCTTCGATCCAAGAAAAGATTATGAATTACTCGTAGAGTTAAGGAATGACAACAGCACTCCACTGCATACGTCCTCCTCATTCCTTGACCCCTTTACAGATCTGCAAGGAAGCCGAGACTGCATTTTACTACACCAAATACTATGAGGAAATCATGTTCCACACTGTAAAGCCGACGGATCGTACACATACCACCGCCATCGGTGCAGTTTCTGCTGCTGTTTCCTGCAAAGCCAGTGCAATCATCCTCATCACTTCCACTGGAAGGTGTGAATTCTTGGAACTTTCGCCTTTTTTCATCTTTCACAAGGGGAATCGGAATGAAAGCTGTAGGGGCACGATTAAAAATTCGCAGGTTCCGGCAGAGGGGAGATTTATCGTTATAAAATAGCTACAATATCATGCATACGCTGGAGCACCTCCACTAGGAAGGGAGGGAGAGACAATTAGAGCTATTAAAAGCACGCTTCTATTACCATGTCGGCGGGGCCAGGCCCTGCATTTTTCTTCCTCCTCTTTTCGTTGTATAGAATGGGTCACGCCAACAAGAACGGCACAAGGGTGGGCCTGACTCTGCCCACACGATCAGGGGCCACCGTGGCCATTAAAGTATTTTAACTTTTTAGCACCGCTATTCTGTGTTCTCGCTATCGCCCACCGGTACCAGTGATCTCTATTACACGAGACGAACGGGTTGCTCGCCGACTGCATCTCTACAGAAGCGTATTTCCCTTGCACTGGCCCAGTAAGTGCCGATATTTTGTTAACTATCGCGAACCAAGATATCTAGTTCCACAAAACTCGTCCGAAACTTTACAAATGAATAGCTTTGCTTTACAGAACCACGCGGTCCCGACTGGCAAGCTGACATCGACGAACGTATCGAATACGGCATTGCAGCTGGCAAGAAGCGAGGCGTGATCTGGACCGGAGATCCATTGGTTGTCGTCACCGGCTGGCATCAAGGTTGGTAAGCTTCAGAGATAGAAAGGCACTTCGCAGTATAAAGGACAAATGGTAAAGCTGACGCAGTTCGGCTTGGTGGGGGTACCAAGCGGCCCTCATCTAGGTTTGTTCAGGCCGTTTTGTGAAGACTTATTTCCTTGTGACCAAAATCTTGGCTCTTGGTACCACTTCGTAGTTTCACAAAAATTTGAAGTTCCCACTTTGGTGGGAGCTGATATTTGAAATGAAGTAACAAGTGGTCAACATTGTCGCATCAGTCATTCTGGTCTTCTTCTACCAAGGATAACTAGTATAGTACTGATGATAGCCGAATGGAATTTTGTATTCGTACCCTCAGGGAGTGCCGTTACAATTCCTTCGTCACTGCTAAATTACCCCGATACCGAGAATTCTCTGAAAGGTCCTCGCATTTGGTGTATGCCAGAGCGATTAACCATTTTTAATGGAGACATTTACAGCAAGGAATTGAAATGAAAACAATTTTCAGGTGCCGGATTCACAAACACGATTCGAATACTCATTGCCACATAAACACGTCTTACAGTTCAAGTGCTTTAATTCAGATATATATGCTAATAAATTTTTATAACAACATCATTGTACGCATTGCTGGATAAGGACATTCTGAAGTGAAAAATTATCCTCCTTTGGACGAAAACTTATACTCCTGCTGTTGTGCAGGACTTCACAGGGCTCATAACGACTACAGGGGCAATACTTTCATAACTACATACAGTTCACGTCCTGTCCTATTCCTCATCATGTGGCCGTTATCTTCATCATCATCCTGTCTTTTTTGTATGATGTTGTCCTTTTCATACGGCTGGTCTTCCCTCACTCATTGTTGATTGCCTACATAGCTGCTCTCTAGTATTACACAAACCAAAGTCTAGTAATACAATCTCCTCTACATTCCTAGGTATGTGACCAGCACTTCGAGGTGATGTTCTCGCTGGCTAGACCTCCTATCTCTTCGTGTCGTTGCTCTTCTGGCATGAATGCTTTTTCCTCCAGTTTCCTTTAATGGAACTCTTTGCTGAACAATATAGTTGTATTTTTTAGCTCCTACCCTCCTGCAACCGTGGCATAACTAGTTGTAAGTTCTATCGGTATAGCAACTCTCGATACCGATAGATGGAGTATTGAAGTGGCTTGAAGTTCCAGCTGAATCGTCGCCTTCAGAAGCCTGAACATTGTTCGGAATTGAGATTTGCACTCTAGCTCTATACCTTCGTGGCCGTGTGCTGCGCTGTGAGCTAGTTTTTCATGTGCAAGAAAATCTTGCAGATGTCAAAGAAAGATATTTTCATTACTAATAAGAATTGACCTCTTCAGGAGGTACCTTAAAAAAGACCATTTAAGTTGCACGTTGTCGGCAGGTTGTGGTGAGAAGCCAGCTGAGTTGTATGGTGATCAATATACTGATGCGTAGCCGATTTCGATCGGTGTTCTTGGAGGGTGGATAGTAGTGTAAAACTATTGAAAGGTCTAAATAGATCGTCTTTTTGTTGAAAAGACGCCATTTAAAGGCTTATTGCCTAAGGACGCGGTGCCGCTCTAGAATCAGCATGTTCTCCTACGCAGCTAGGAGTTCTATGCGTTCTTTACCTTAACAGTAGGATTTATTTCAGAGGAACAAGTTCCTGGAACAGTTGACGGACTAAGATTTCAGATCAAGTGCTCTCTATGAGGATTCCATTAGATGTGCAATTTTTCTTGGGTCCACTGCTCCTGACGCTCTACCATTTTTGGCCAACAGCCCCGTCTCGAAAGTGTTGGCAAAACTCCTGATCCGAAGCCGAAAATAAAAGGATCAAAGAAGCAATGAAACCAAAATTGGCCTTAGTTAAAGTGCTCAAGCCTCCCTTCTCTTCATGATGCTATGCACCAGTCAGTGGCGCGTCCTATATTGTAGATCGATCCCCTGCGAGCGAGAGAGATCGCATTTGAAAATTGGGCGATCGTATTCATCTCTGAGGGGCCTTGTCGCTGACTTTTTCGCAGCTTTTCTGTTTGAATGCCTACAATATTTCGCGATTGGGAAACAGACTTTCTAGAGGAAAAAGATAAAAATTCCTGAACAAGAATGCGATAAAGTGAAAGGTAAGGAATAATAGGAATATGCGGGGGTGGAGGAAAGGGGTGCAAAAGGTTGAGGAAGATTTGCGAAAGTACCAAAAACTTGCCAGACTTCGGAACTGCGAACGACAGTCATTGAAATTGTTTGAACGATGACTACGTGTGACAAATAAGTACGATAAATACCTAGCTTCACGTATTGGAGCAGCGTCCCATTTTTCTAAAAGAGCTTCCTAATAAGCTATAGATCGATCACTGTAGGTATTTACTTAATTAATCGGGAAAACTTTCTACCAAGGGGGTGGGCTACGATGTGTATAAGAAACATTAGGCCAGGAACAATTTAACCCTTTACTGCCCAGTATCCGACAGTCAGGCCAGTTCCCTGACCGATTTTTCTACCGTGGCAGATTTTGCTGCAATTTGTCTCCTGGGGTATTTTGACCTGCACAGAATACAAATATCAATTCCCACAGCCCGAAACTCCTGACGCCCGCGCAGCCACACGGCCGCCATGTATTTAGGGTATTTGGCGGCCGGTGCCCAGTTGTTGCGGGCGGCCAGGAGGTTTCGGGTTGAGTGGATGTGATATTCGTGCTCAGGGGGTCAAAGTACCCCTGGGAGCAAGTTTTCAGCAAATTCTGCCCACGGAGAAAAAAGTCGGTCAGGAACTGGCCTGCGATTTCAGGATGGCTGGGGCAAGAAAGGGTAATGTTAGGCAGCGAATATACTATATGATTATTATATATGAAAATTATATGAAGCAATATACTCTTCTTGTTGTTTCCGTCATCTTTCCCTGTCATTTTCATTATGAGATAAAGCGGCCTTCATCTCGCTTGCTTCATTCACGTTGCCCACGTAGCATGTATACCTGCGGATGCTGAGGCATATCCGGGGAGGCTTATAGGTTGCCAACAGGTGGCGTGTTAGCGCAGCCCGCAAGCCTTGTCCCTCCTCCAGTCGTTTAGAAGGCAAGCGAAAAGACGAAAATCATAGTTCCTTTCCAATCTCAGAATATGCCGTCCGAACACGGGTGGCTTCGCCGACCAAACTCCATACCTATAAACACGCTCTAGCAATTCGCAGCGAACGAGAGTGTATTTAGTCTGCTCATGCTTAGGATCTGAATTATTACTTTGCTTACGTTCCATCTCGAGCGCACGCTCAGCTGAGCTATGCATTTCTTAATTCATAAAATTAACGGATACTTACTGCAACCTTCTCCCTACCAGCATCTCTAACCCCGTTAGAGCACTATAAAAACGTACAGTGGAGCGACAACGTCCAAAATGAACGACTATCCTATCGGCTTTCGTATGGACTATTAATTTTGACAGTTCCATGGATATCCACCGTGAAGGCCATGAATACCTTCGTCGAAATTCGAACGTCGCAGTTCTGAAAATAAAATATGACGCTATTACGCCATCGCCGAAAGGCTGCTAATTTATAGCGTTAGCGCTAGGAGTGTCGCCTTGAAAACCTACGTTCTCGGGCACAGTGGTTGCACCGATCCCGGAGAGCCTCCAGGGCAAGAGGGCGCCTCGACGTCCATTCAGTTACTCAGGCATACCATTTCAGAGGTTGGAAAAGGAACTATGAGTTTGAAATACGAAGAGGTTATTTCGTGAAGCATATCGCGGAAATTTTGACGGAAAGCTGCAAAGAACAGAATTCTTCTCGGCTGCTTCTTCGGAACCCCAGTTAATGCACCAAAGTCGATAGTGGTGGTGCCTGGAGTTTGAGGTGAGGCGAACAAATACGGCTAAGTCACAGAAAAAGTCAAATTTGACCGTTTCGCATAAAAAATTGGGCACTGGACGGTCTCTCCCCCCCTCCCCCGCATTCTTGTCATATTAATTTCAACGATTGATGATGAGTCTTAAGATTGACGACATAGCAATGACCCGTCTGAAAAACACTAAACGATCCTCCCTTGTTCTGATTTGTCTTTCTAAATAAACTTGCATTTCACGGAGGTATTTCAATGAAGTGGGCATTTTGGTGCAACAGCTCGGGCAAATTACGATAATCCCTTCTGAACAAAGAAGTACATTAAGGTAAAAAATGCTACAAGGCTTATTTCTACGTCTTTAGTGCGAAATTTTCAGAAAGTCCAGCGGCATTTTGTGCTGAAAGGCCGGGATAAACTATTCAGCGTTAGCCAGCGTTGTGATGGTGCCCAAAGAACGTCGTACGCTGGGGAGTCCCCAGCAAGGGGTTCTATTCGGTCGCTGCACGGAAGAGGCCGTAACTGGGATTGGTAGTAAGTGTAGTGTAGTAGTAAACATTTTTTTTCTACTAGAAAAGTGAGATAGAGGACGGAGGAACGGAAAGTGATACCCACAAGTTTTTGCCCAGAAACTGGTTGCAACTCGCGCGAAAAGTTTTTTTTACCAAGGTCTAGGCAGCAAGAATGGACTGCCACACTTCTAGGGGAAATATTTCTGCAATGGTAAACGCCCGCAATCCCTTTTCAGGTATACGGCACCTCTTTGCGTAACTGAGACTGAGAAAATGTCTCAATAGTTGATTTTTCCTGAATTCACGCGTCTAGCCACATCAGTTGAGGAAGAAGGAGGGGGGTTCCCCCAGGTATTAAGCTAGGTCGTTCGTCTTGAGAAGAGGGTTGCATCCAGCTTTTGGAACATTTGTTCGCGCACTAGAAAATTTTTTCCAGTTGTTGCCTTCACGCCTTTTTCTCTTTTTCACATGTGCTGTATATTCCCTTCCTCCTAGTATGCTGTGCAGCGGACCTATACAGCAGCACTTTTTGATGGTGAAATAGTTACTTGTTAAATTGCGACTCTCCATTGACGTACCGGTTTTAGGTGTAAATAGGAACGGAATTTTCTTTTGAAAAATGGAAAAGAGAAAGTAGTAGAGGCATGGGGACTTAGGAAGATGGAAGCTAGGATAGGAAGGGGGTGCCGTACCTGAATACGGGATTGGGCGGTTGCCCTTGCAGAAAGTTTTCCCTAGCAACAAGTGCGTCCTTCTTGTGCCTAGGCCTTGGTGAAAAAAGCTTTCGGCAAGGTGCACCAGTTCCTTTGGGCAAAAACTTGTGGGTATCACTTTTCCGTTCCTCAGTCCTCTATCTCACTTTTCTAGCAGAAAAAAAATGTTTACTACTACACTACACTTACTACCCTCCCCACCCCCCCCCGTCCCTGCTCGCTGGCGGATCTTTGGGAGAAAAAAGGAGGCATTTTCGAAAAAAGACTTCGGAAAAGTGATAGAAAATAGAGAAAAAGTGAAAGTGAAGTGGAAGTTGGAAGGAAGGATGGGAATGAGGAGGGGAGGTCCCACAACAGGAGCGAATTCTTAGCTGCTTATTTTGCAAAAATCCTCTTCAAAGGCAGGGCCGTGCCCTGTTCCTAGACGCCACGGTTTTCAAGTTACTGCAGCTGATATATTTGTTGACGAGCCTCACCCTCAAACCCGTTTTG